GGCCCCGCAGGCACGCGCGCTCTCCACTCCTTGGCAACTCCGTGTGCGCATCGTCTGAGCCACCGTACCGCGGCTTCGAGCCATGCCCTGCACCATCTCTCGCGCCCTTGTCCTCCTTTCCGCCCCGTGGGCGCCGCTGTCGGCCATGGCCCTGCAGGCAGAAGGCCACGGCCACGGCGACAGGGGCCAAGGCCACGCTGGCGAGGGCCACGGCCACGGCGTCTCGCACGCCTCACGCGGCCACGGCTCCGGCCACGGACACGGCCACGGCCACGGCAAGGTCCAGGCCCATGGTCACGGCAGCAAGAGCCACGGGAAAGTCGTTTCCCACGTCCACGGCCACAAAGACAAGGACCATGTTCGCAACAGCAAGGCCAAGATCCAGAAGTTGCTCAAGGACGAGCTCTTCAGCCCCTCCCACCGCTTCGCTGGCCAGGCGGTGACTGTCTCCGAGGGTTGCGACAGCTGGAAGGGAGAGGGGCTACACTGCGAGACCGAGTTCCCCGAGCACGCCCTCGTGCGCGACTGGGTCCCCCCAGATGCCGTGGTCATGGAGTTCGGCGCCCGCTTCGGCACGACCAGCTGCGAGATCGCGCGCAAGCTCAACAACAGTGGCAACGTGGTGGTCGTGGAGCCCGACCTGAATGTGTGGGATGTCCTCGAGGCGAACCTGAAGTCGCACGAGTGCAACGCCCACCTGCTCCGCGGCGCGGTGAGTTCGGTGGACCTTCACATGGCGGCCAAGCTCAACGTGAAGCGCGGCTACTCCAACAGGGCGCTGCAGAAGGGCGGCGTCGTGGTGCCTGGCTACCAGTTACAAGAGGTGGAGGCTGCCCTCGGTAAGAAGGTGGACACCCTGCTCATCGATTGCGAGGGCTGCGCCCAGGCAGGGTGCTCTTCGATTCGATCGATCCCGTTCGATATCGAGTTCGGCTGGCCCGATCCGATTCGATCCTGGTTTGCCGACGATCCGATTCGGCCCGATGCTGGCTCTGCGTGTTGTACGTCCTAGCGCAGCCGATCCGATTCGACCTTGACTCCGTGCCGATGCAGCCCGATCCGACGCAGAGTCCCATCCGATCCGACTTCCCGATTCGGTGCTGACTGATCCTGCGCAGGACATGATGGACCAGCTGGGCCCCGTCATCGAGAGCGGGCAGGTCAAGCTGCTGCTCATCGAGGGCGACATGCCGGTGGGCGCCAAGGACTGCCACTCCCACTGCATGGACTACGAGAAATTCTTCGCCTACCTCGCCAAGCACGGCTTCGAGCAGGTCGACAAGTTCAACGACTGCGACATTGCGCGCACTGGCGCTCCCAAGGGCAAATGGTGCGGCAAATGGATTGACCACTTCGCCTTTCGCCGCAAGTGAGCTGTAGCGAATACGGTGCTTGCGCGTCCGAGGCCGCTGCGGGCACGTCGTCGAGGCGAGGCCAGTGCTGAGCTTGAAGGTGTCACGCCCTGTGTGTGCCGACGAGTGAGCAGCCGAGCAGCCCTACGGCAGAGTCGCCGGACATGCGCACGGGGCGTGCAATCACAGCTGAGAGAGCCACGCATAGCGAGCTAGTTCCCAATGTTGCCTGTCAGTGGGAGGGAGGTGGGAAGGTCGAGGAGCAAAAGGCAGGAGCAGATGGAGGAAGAGCACGAAGGAAGTTATGGAGGCTGAAGGTGGGGTGGGATGAGGAGGGGAAGGGGAAGGAGCAGAGGGAGTAGGAGAAGCATGATGATGATGATGATGAGGAGGAGGAGGAGGAGGAGGAGGAGGAGGATGAGGATGAGGATGAGAATGAGGATGAGGATGGGGATGAGGATGAGGATGAGGATGAGGATGAGGATGCTGGTGATGATGATGATGATGATGATGATGATGATGATGATGATGATGATGATGATGATACGGATCATGATCATGATGCTGATGCTGATGATGATGATGCTGATGTAGATGTTGATGCTGATGATGATGGCCATGATGATGATGATGATGATGATGATGATGATGATGATGATGATGATGATGATGATGATAATGATGATGAGGATGAGGATGATGATGATGATGATGATGATGATGATGATGATGATGGTGATGGTGATGATGATGATGATGATGGTGATGGGGATGTGATGGTGATGGTGATGGTGATGGTGATGGTGATGGGATGATGATGATAATGATGATGAGGCGGAGAGCGGAGGAGGAGGAGGAGGAGGAGGAGGAGGACGACGACGACGACGACGACGAGCAGCAGCAGCAGCAGCAGCAGCAGCAGCAGCAGCAGCGCCATGCCTCCCCTTTCTGTTAGATCGCACGCTCTGAGCGCGACCCCGGCGCCCTTGGCGGCACGAAAAGCAGGGCGGGGACAGGCGGCATCCACCCTCAGAGGGGCCCCCCCGGCTTTTCGCAAGGCACGGGGAGGGCCCGGCTCTTCGAGCGGCCGAGCCCTTCCTCAGAGCCCCCCCGCTGCTGTCTTGCACGACTGCCCGCCTCTCTCCTCC